GCCCACTGATCATCTGATCACTCGCACTAGTTCAATACGTGGCGAGTGATTAGATAGCTGAGAGAGCGTAGTGTTGAAGAGGGCACAGCGATGAGAGTCGCATCAATGCTCAAATCAACGGGCAAGGAAGGGGTCCCATTTCTCGGGTTCTGGGCCGTTTCTCATGGTTTTTCCTTCTTTCGTGTACCACTCACCATCCTAGGTTAATTTGAAATGGGTTGCTTTTCAGCGTGAATTTTATTACATTAGTTAGCTTGGCTATATTCGATCCAAAGATGTGCCTTCGGCAAAATTACTCAAATAAAGCCAATCAACCTTTGGTTTACGTCGGCTCCTCTCTGTAATAGTTTGCTAACCATCTGCACGTCGTGATTGATAATTGCCAAGTGAAGAGGCGAAAGTCCTGAAATTGAAACAGTTGCCGACGCCTTCACTTCTACGATATTCTTGCTGACTGACCGTAATAATCCTCTGATGTGCAGATGTCGTTAAGCAACTTCGGGTAAAAGTCTAGTATTCGGAGAGCGAGCATATTATGAATTATTGTTCCTTGTAGAAGGCATACACCCACGATGGTCTCTCCCATAGATCCCTGAAAAACTACTTCCATAATTTGAACTTGTTAAAGCCTCAAACGAGAATGCAACGGTGTGGTGTAAGAAAGGGAATTTTACCTAGTGGGAAAAGAGGCGCGCCTCCAAAGGGGGATGGACACGCCGGTTTTGGGGAAGAATGTGCCCCGGGCCACCTAGCATGCCCCGCGCGGCGCTATCGGCGCGACACTCCCATCGACTGGCTAACCCCTCGCCGTCTCTCGTCTCTAGCCATTTAGCAGAGAGACAGCTATGCGTTGAAGAATGCAGCACCGATAAGAGTCGCATCAATGTGGAAACGAACGGGTAGGAAAAGATCGAGCCCGACCTCCGGGTTCATCGCCATTTCTCAGGTTTATTCTTCATCTTGGCACCAATGATCACCTCTACCTTAATTCTGGTGGATACTTTCTAATCATAAACTCCGCCTTCAATCGAGGAGAATCACCGTCACTCCTTATCGGTACCACAATTTTGACAAAGAACAGCATGATCGTAATGCAACTGTAGCGACGTCTTCATTACGATTCAAGACTTCACGGTAACAAGTTCGAGCTCGTGGTTCATTTTGAAGCGAATCAGCGGAATATCATTGAAAAGCTGTCTTCAAATAAACCAGCTGATAAATGCTGCATAGCCGAGCTGATAGCATCTCTAAGATTGTCCAATGATGCCACTGGTTGGGAAATGCTGGGGAAAATGGAAGAAGCTCACCTCTTTCTTCAAGTTTCCAGTTCAACTCGCGGTACTTCGATTCTGATTTTCCACCTTTCCCTCCTCCATCAAGAAGTTTGAGGGCTAAAATGAAAAGCGTTTGTAAATGGTCCAACTCTAAGCGATCGAGAACTCACCCTTCTTGAGATCTCCAGTCTTTGCATCGTTCTGATCAAATCCTTCGAGAACATTCACAGCTGCTTTTCCCTTTCCTTTCTTACGCAGAAAGGCACCCAGTTTTGCGTTTCGTTCCTGGAAAAAGGAGTCGTGTAAAGTTAAAATAGTTTGGACGAACCTGCAGTGCGTGAAGTTGGGTCAGATCTTTGGCCAAGCGATCGTGCATAAGCTTTTGAGAATTTTTAGGACTCAGGGCCGAGGATGGAGCATCTCTTAAGAAAGGTTTGTGAGAAGGAGCTACCTATCTCACAACATCAAAAGTGAGTCAAAAATTTGTATTTTCGAAAAAAAAAGTGGAAATAGCGGCTAATAGTGGACAGGAAGCGATTAGGTGGTTGGTGGATCCAGAAACAAGAAATCCATAATTTGCTTCTTTTTTCCGTGGCCGAGAGCCATTTGTACCGGCGTATGGCGTGTTCGCACAACGCACGTTCCCACAAGCGCACACCAATGGGTGTTCGCCTCAAGCGCACTTGCGACAAGTTCGTGCAGGAGAAATCGGCCCCTATGCCATCTTTGGTCTCACAACACACCTTATTGCGTAGAGCAACCAGTTCCGTGACAGCGAAAAGCTTGCCCTTCTCATTGTTCAACAGGAATTCAGGCATCCGTGTTTTTATATAGTTGTCCAGGAAAGAGTAGTCTTTGGTTGCCTTAGCGTGCCTGAAAATGGAACGTTTGTTTGGAAATGTCTTGAAGATCCCTCTTATTCTCCTACCTCATTATCGTCATCATCTCTCCTCCACCATGCAGGTCAACCATGCGATAGAGTCGCATGTCCTCTTTCAGACGTCCTTCCGCCGCTTGAACCTCGGCCTGCTCCATTTGGGCTCCGTTCATCCCTCCAATAAACAACTTACCCATCCAGGCTGCCTCTAATATAAAATTAATTACGATTTGAAAGTAATATGTAAACGCATTCAAAATTTGTTATGGGTGTGTGTTATGTTTAACTGTGCCATGCGAGCCCTTTCTCAAAAATTATATCCTAATCGAAAACAACCAGCGCTACAATTCCGTTGTTTTGTGGGAAGCGTGATTACTTTGAGTCTCCTCAGTCCACGCTTATCCTTATTGTCTACAACGTAACTGTGGGAGATTGGGGTATTCTGCTCCTGGGAACCTCGTGATACTATTCGATTTCTTTTGTGAACAACTGTTATTCGTCGCGGTGGAAATGTGGGAAAACGTCATGGTTACCACAGCGGAAAGTCCAACGCGGATCCCGTCTTTGGTGGCATATAAGCTAGTGAGGTGTATGCTGAGGTATACCAAGCTTCTGTGGTGTCATGATAGCGGCTTGGGAAGCCCAATTGTCAGGTTCAGCTCCATGCTCCATCTCCAGACATGGCAAGGTGTTTCACTAAAATCTCGGCCTCTGTGATAATCTTAATACGCTGCCAGCAGGTTTTGGGACTCCGAGAATCTTGTTGTGCTCTAAATGAATTGCGTAACATTGCGAAAAACCCGAAAAATGTTGTGTTCCCAGATTTTGCGCTTCTGGCTGTATTCTGGAGCTTACATGGAGAGGCCAAGTGGTCAATGTGGCTATTTGCCATGCGGGATGCTGATAAATATGCTTTGAGAAACTG